GAGGAAGAGGGAAGTTCCAGAGGGGGTTCCATATTTGTGTTGCTGTAGGTTAAAGACCTGTCTGATGACTTAGGGGTTCTTGATGTCGACGAACAAGGACTGTGTATTGGTCTGCAGCATCAATAAGAAAACGGTTATTTAAAAAAAAAAATTTTGAACGTTTTTATAAAACGTTGGGTATTAAAACAGTTGCAAATCAAAATAGATCGTTTTTATCTGTGATAACGTGTTTTTAGGAAAAAACTATTATAATAACAAAAATGAACGCATTTAGAATCTCAATTTTTTAGAGAACTTTTTCGAACATAAGCGGAAACTGAAGTCAAAGGGCGTTGGTGAAAACGGAGTCTTAGTTTTTATAAATCAAACTAAGAAATTCATTCGCAAATTTCGGCGTGATAGATAAAATATGAGGAGGTTTGATTATGCCCTGTGGACAAATACATCGTCGAGCTTGTCTATCTTTTTTACTTTTTAAAAGAAGCTTTGAAAATTAATAAGAAAAATTTCTTGTTTGCTAGAAACTTTCATCCCATATAAACAAATTAGTTATATCACTAAGCTTTCAATATATTTCTTTAAGAGCTGTAGTTTTTTTGGTGGTTTTTCAAAAGCATGTAAATATTTTTCTAGAGCAGCTTTTAACCAGGTTAAAAACGTCAGTTTTGTAAATAAATATAAGCAATTTGTGTTATATCTGCATTTTGGTTTACAATGGTCAGCTGAACAAACTAAAATCATTATAGAGATTAAAACTCACAATTTTGCGATTTTCTAATCGCAAACTACTAAATCTCACGTCAGAAAAGCAATCGAATTAAAAGTACCTTGAACGAAAAAACAAACCGAACAAATGCTCTTAAGTTTTTCTTAATCTGAACATGTAATCAGTTGATCTGAATGTATGTATTTGGACTGTGCAAAAGAAGAACATGTATTTTTGCACCTGCGAAAAAAGTATGAAGCGTATAATAGAAGTGTAGTTTTTCAGTCGTCCATCATTAAATGAATAAAATATCAAACTGACTTTTTGAGAGCCTTTCTTAGGCCAAAAAATCATTTCATGCCTGATGGAATGGGATTTCAGTACCAATTTCAAAGTTGTAAAATCAATATTTTATGAGAAAGAGTTTGAAAGTCTTCAATAGTGTCCGGTTCAATATCATCTGATCAAGTGATACCATTTAATAAAGTTTTAAAAAAAACGAAAAATTTAAACCCAATTTCAAGTTTTAAGTATTGGCACAATTGGTCAGTCTTTCGATTAAAATACTAGGAATGTTTATGGGACATCATAACGCATCATTATGTGTTACATCAGACCTTTTTGTTATTACTGAACTTACAAAGGATAGTGTCTATCGGAAATTTTTCCGCATAAAAAATCTCAAATTCAATAACCGTACGGCTTTTAGTTTAAACTTAGGTTTATTGAAAACGAGTTTTTGATTGCAAAAAAAAGACAAATGCTTTCTACTCGGTGTGGCTCTCATTCTTGAGGCAAATAGCGGCTCTTTAACTGGCAGTTCTCAACGGACTTTTTCGCCATTACATAATGATAATTGATTGTGTTTCTGCGTTTTCCCGAGGTTATATGAATAGCTATCAGGCCTGTCTAAGCATTTTCCGTTTCTACAATTTACCCACATGCCATATTGAGCGACTTTGTTGCGCAAAGCTCATTTGGTAATTTTCTACATATCAACGCCCCGAGCTCAATTTCTATAAATGAATAGTTCAACAGCAACCACTTTCTTAAGTTAAACGAGAAAGCGGTTTGTCACTGTCAACATAATAGCCAACAACTGATAATTAAATATGTGAATCTTGCTCTAATAAGACGTAAGGTTATTAACAACAATAATTTTTTGCAACATTTTTAAGTTTTTTTGCGAAGCAAACAAAGCTATAAATTTCAAAAATTCGAACTTCGAGTTTCGAATTATTTGAAAAATGTTCATCACTTGAAAACCATGCGCAAAAACTCAAATTTTCCGCGAATTAGTTCTCTATGAAATACTTGAAGTATTTTGTAATTTCATTGCCCAAATAACTGACTTGAATATCTGTAACAATTTTATGATCAATCTCGAATTTGATTTTGAAATAGTCAAACTTCGAATTCTAATTTTTAAATTTTTAGCGCTTTAAATCCATTAGCTTCAAAAACTTCAAAACATAAGATGTTTACTTATTCAAAAATTGAAGAAGTTTGAAAAATGGTTCACGCTATAAAATAACTTCAAATGTGTTTCAAGTTTAAATGCTTGAGTAGCCTGCTTAAAAAAACTTGATTTTTCGGAAAGTAACTGTTTCAAGGAAATATCTTGAAAAAATTTAAAGTTTCAAGGCTTTCAAGTAAATTCACTTCAAAAAACCTTCAGCGCTCGCCTAACTGGCTTAGAAACAACTTAATTCTTGCCTATTCTTTGATAGTATGCAATAAATTCTAGATTCGCCTTTCGCCGAGAAAAATTATTTTCGTGCAAATCAATTTCAGGTAAGAAATAAGATAAATGATATTATTGCTTAAATAGCTTGCTCAGAAAAACTAATTTTTTGGCAAATCGATTTAAGGTAAAAATGAACATGAAAAAGCTTAAAAGTATCATCATTTGAATAGCGGTATTGAACAATTTTAAAAAAAACTCCGAGTCGCCTGCAGACAAAAATATAGTCAGGAAATATAGTCATAGTGATTAATTTTACATAAAAATTTAGTTTTTATCAGCATATGACTAACGCGAACGATGATATTTTTGGGTACTTTGAAATTTTATTTATTTAAAGAGCTTCAAAACTTGATTAACCAGCTCAAGAAAAAACGTTTAGAAAAAAGAAAATTTTGTTTATCGTAAAAAAGGAGAGAGTAAAAATGGCTTACTTAGACTAACACTGACACAAGAAAATTAAAACTTTTATCATTTGAAAGTTTTGGTTAGAAAAAGTCAAAATTTTGCGAAACGACCACAACAGACCACGTATGAAACAAAATGAAAATATTCCAAGACTCATCGCTTGCTCGTATAAACGTTGAGGTTATGCAAATCGATTCACTGTGAATTGACTCCTTTGTTTCAGTAGTTTCAAGATTTTTTTGGCCTGGTCATAAAAACACAAATTTTGCAAACCGATTCAAGGGATAAAAAACATGAAAATTTTACTTGAAAGTTTAATAGAATCTATGGCTTGCGCAGAAAAACCGGCTTTAATATGAGCTTATTCACGTTAAAAAATTAAATCTTCAATTTTTGTTGCTTGAATGTTTTAGTTTTTAATCAAATTCAAAAAACTCAGATTCATCAGTTTTTAATCAAAAACTAGTTCCAAACTTACTTTTGCGAGTCAATTTCAAATTTGAAATATCAAGAAAAATTTCAAAAGACTAATTCTCTAATGTCTTGCTTTGAATTTTGTTAATTGATTTTACATATGAAATAACATGGGAAAATCTAAAATTTTCATCGCTGGAATGGTTTGCTCAGTAAAGTTATGCAAACCGGTTGAGGCTGGATTGAATGGAATTATTTCGAAGCTTCATCGCTTAAATGAATAGTTTGCCTTGTCAGATTGCAAACCGAATCACGATATTGAATATCTTGAAATTATTCAAAGTTTCTTTGCTTGAATAGCTTGCCCAGAAAAACTAAGGCGTGTATTTTGTTAAACGGCCCACAGATGATAATTTAAAAAATGAATCTTTTGCTCAAACTTGATTGTTTGCAATTATTTTCAGCTTAAAAAAACAAACTCAATCAACACACTATTATTTTTGGGCCGTTTAACAGAAAACAACGCAGCTAAGTTTTTGCGTTTCAATTGCGTTTGAAAACGAGCTTGCTCGTTTGCTTTGAACATGACTAAGGGATTTTGCAAGGAAAAAGCTGGAAAAAAAAATTAAAAAAATTATCAGTAACGTTGCAATTTCACCACTTTTTAATCAAAAACTAGTTCCACACGATAAGAGAAGTCGCCTTGATGAACACCGTAACGTTGCGTGGTAGCTGCTCAGCGCAAAACAAGGAATTAAGGTGCGCCTTCCCTATCAACAGGGGGCGGATTTAGGGAAGGGGCGTGGGGGGGTGGGCGGACGCCCCCTTCAGGGATTCGAACCCCTGCCAACCCAAAGGGTCCCCCCTTTGGTAATTTTTAAGAAATCAATTTTTGGCCAACCGAGCCTAAAAATTTTCTAAAGGAGCCTTCGGCGCCAATATATACTAATTTTGAGGGGGAGCGCGCGCCAAAAAACCGCGTTTTTTTGTCAAAATTTTCCAAAAAGGGCCCAAAAACGGCTTTTTTGACTTGTTTTTTTCAAAAAATTGCCTGCGGCGCAGAAAATTTCGCCAAAACAGGGTCTTTTTACTGCTTTGGGAGAGCTCGGAAAATCAATCTGATCGACCTAAAAAAAAGGTCAAAATTTTCAAAAACTTTTTGAAAATCCGCCCCCCCCCTCGAGAAAATCCTAGATCCGCCCCTGCCTATCAATCAAGGTTTATGTTTCCTTGTCAATACTAAAAATGCAAACTTTGAACTCAAAATCATACTTCATTTTAAAAAAATTTCAGAGAGTTGATTTTATTTAAATTCTCTGTAGAATGTTTGATTAGATAAGTCATCCTAAATCAAAAAATATATGAAAAAAAAAATTTAAAGATCAGTTAGACAATTAGGATTGCGTTTTCAGGCTCGATCAATTCACGGAACACATTATATGAAACTCAAACCAACACTTAGAAACAAAGCTAGCACTCGACAACTGGACTGAATTGTATAGTTGTACAACAATTTTAAAATGCCGAAAAGTGGCTTAATGTTAAATTTGATTTAATGCGCGAGCTGAATTCATCCTTATGTTCTTCAAAATTGTGAATAAAAGGTTTTGTCAAAAAATGTCACTTGGGTCATTCAAATATGAGTGGGGAACCTCATAATTGGTACAAAAAGAAAAACGTTTTCAAATGGTTAAACAAAAATTTTCAGTTAAACTTTAAACTACTTACAAAAGCGCGATTTCTGGTTCCATTGTTTCATCTAAAACATAAATAAAAGTCTCGATTTATTTTGAAAACTGAATGGTTTTTTGAAGTTTGATTTTTCAAACCTCAATAGTTAATATTTTTCGTGATAATATGCTATAATTTTCACTATTAGACTACACAAACAAATTTTGAAAAATTTTCGACCGCGATGGTTTCTAGATTTTGTGGTTCTTGGAACAATTACCCCTGTAAGCGTGTATCTATAAGCATGTGAGTCTGTTAGCATACAAGAATCGCTTCAAAAAAGTTAATCAGACGGAACTGAATTATTATTTATTTCGGCTTAATGTGACACCTTTTGTTTAAGAAAATGAAACTTTTCTGTATACCGTATTTTTTATTTGGCCGAGTTGAGTTTGAGAACTAACAAATCTTGCTCTTCGGTACAAATATTCATAGGCTTGTACTAGTGTTATTCTAACCTATACTTCTGGTCTTGCTCAACCGCGGCCTTCTGCTCGAAATTGCCGATTGATGCACACTTTTATTCGAGTTATCAATCGTTATACTCGGAAGCAGCAACTCCTGGCTGCCGAGACGTGAACTGTTGTTTGTGTTCACGCTGTTATTCGAATCGGATAGAAATTGTTCACTTGTTGCGTTTTGGTGACGTAACATGTTGTCGAGAACCAATGCTGGGGTTACTTTCGGTTGATGTTTAGGCGAATTCCTGAAAAGATAATAATATTAGTGCAGGAAATATTTAAAAAAAAACTTTTATAAGAGTTTTGGTTTCTACAAGTTTCAGATGATCTAACAAACAGTCACGAGCTTAAAAACAGTTTAGAAATAGCCAACAGCCAAAAATTTGCCTCAATTGAAAACAAGAACACAAATAACGCAGCAGTCATGACAAAATATTGAGCTTAAATGTTATAATTTTGGCAATCAAACGATGTGATTCTAGATAGTTTTAAACACTTAACTGAGCATCAACTAAAGCAACATAGCGACAAAGATTGCTGGTTGCGGTTTAAGTAGCACAGAATGTTCCGAACATGTTCTTGAAAAGCATATATAAAAAACTTTTTTAAAATTTTCTTCGAATTAGTGTCATTTTTAATGGGTGGTGTAATTGTAAATTGATACGATCCCAAAAAAAATTAGTGAATTGATATATATAACTGATAATTATAGTAAAATAAATTTTTATAACCTTAAAATTATAACATAAATAGTTAATTTCCATATAACGAGCGTTACTCGATCGCGTTTTGCGCTCGAAATTTAATTAAAAACGAAAAATTTCAAGCCAGTTTTTCTCGACACTGGGAGATTTTTTGAGACGTTTTTAATGATCGAATTACATTTGAAAGAACTTTAGTATGGTAGACCACTCCCCTCTCTCCGATGATTATTTTTGATAGCTGATTTTGCGTTGAAATCAAAAGTTCCTCCCCGTTTTCAATTGTCGGAACAAAAAAATAAATTGTTTATTTCTTACAGATAACACCAATGTAATAGTTTTTTTTATTCGCCCTGCTGAAGTCCGTTATCTCGCAACTGTTTGCATGATCATTGCTGAGTTTGTCTGTACAAGCAGTTTAAAAACTAATCACACCTGTAAAACTCTTTCCAGAAAACGTTATAAAGATTAGCCTGATATTAGCCAATTATGAGCGATTTGAATGATAAAGTATTGTTTTTGTTTAGTCTTACTCGTTTTTTTTTCACGAAGAAGTTTCAACTTTCCTTGGGCTAAACTTCCGTATTTTGATTCTTCAACAAGACAAACACTTTACCTTCACTTTACCTTCACACAAAATTTCCAAGCCAGGCTCAAGTTACGCTTTTTTAGAGAACAACTGAAGCCTGTGGTAAAACAGTGCTTGTTATCTTATTTTGGACATCCAATTTAACTTTCAGAATATCCTTTGGATTAATCAAATTAGCGAGAATGCTCCAGCAATATCACATCGTTTTTAGTTATGTGGAGCTTTAACATATATTGGCATGGAAGTGGAACATCTACAATCACATCTACCGCCAAAAATTTAAGCATTTTAACTTGTTTGCATTCAACTGCACTTAAATGAATGCAAACAATTTTCGGCAAAGAAATTTTAATGAATTTTAAATTTAAGTTTTCTTTGTTTTCCGCCCCAAAAACCGCCCTAAAATAAAAATTTTGAATTCACACTGCTGAAACTATTCGCGCTCAAGACTTCATAGATGATATCTCAAAAGAGCGCAGAAATGCCTCGAGGACATAAGCAAACGGATAGTTTGGAAACCTTCAAATTCAATTGAGAATGATTGCTGCTAGAATTTTTTTTCGATTTTGAATTCTAAGAGCTGATCCGCTTTGGGGTAAAAAATATTTCTATTGCTCAGACTGTTCTCAACTAAAACAAAACAGCTCGTATCAGGGAAAAATCTTTTTTGCTTCGACTGCCAAAGTCCACGGAATCATTCTTCTTTTTTTCAAAAAAATTTTTAGAAAAACGCTTAAAATTTCTGATTTTTAAATAATAATTTTTCTGAAAACATTGCCCTCACACGCTGTGAGAGGTACACAGTGACTTTATTAGCGTGACGCAACAACAAAAATTTGAGAGCAACCAGCCGAAAAATTATCTTACCATTTCAACAAGCCAAAAACTGTTATTTTTATGTAGCATAAGAAAAACTTGTCTCTGTTGTTATGCAACAGTTACATAATTCTGACCTTTTTTGTCCTCAAGATATGGTGCTTTTTAGGTGAGGATGTTTGTTGAAAATTCGCTGTGTTAATAGTTTCAAATAGCCTCAAATCTAAATGGAATGATATCTGAGCTGGAATAATTTGCCGCTCAGGAATTAATACAACGAAATATACTGCGCGGTAAAGGTCTCAAAGTAGCCAACTTATCAACTTTTACGCCAAAATAACTTAAAAAATAAAATCAGATTTGAGTCTAAGGCGCTGAAGTTTTTCAAATGGAATAGAAGTTTTCTCTGAATATTGGCTAGCTGAAAAGACCAAGTTTGGCTGAAGAAAAACAATAACAATATCTTTCATTAAAAACCGCTATGTTTTTGCATATTCCGTTTCTTGTTTGGAAAAACAGAAGCAAAAAATTTTCAACGCATTTTCAGTGTTCCTGTTTTTAGTTTGTACTTCAATGCACAAACATTTTCTGTGATAGAATAAATACTCCCAAATTATTCTTCATTTAAGAGAAGAAAACAAGAAGTTTTCTCCTCTTAAATGAATAAATCCCTATATTATACCAATCAAAAACTTTGTTCTAATGAATATTGGCATTTTATTTATTGATGGCCAGCCTTGAGAGTAAATACTTGTTACGCGAAGTTTCTAATAGACATGCATCTGGGTAACAGTTTTCGAAATGATAGAAATGATACATTTTTAGCTTTTTAATCTAATCGCAACTTCTGGGTATACTCTTATAGAGAATTGTTAAGTTTGATCGCAGAAACATTCAGGATTTTATCAATTTTTTGAAAGTTTTAGTTATTTCTACCATTTTTGATTGGTTTTTAGACTGTTAAATTTCTAATATTTTTAGTTTAACTTGCATTCGCATACTGCTTTTCAGTTTTAAATCGAATGTTTAGAGATACTTTTAGCTGTGCCCAACATTAATTGAAGATATTATAAAAACAAAATCAACAAAAAACTTTCTGAAGATTTAAGAAATGTTAAAGAAAGCTATGGTTTAATTCAGAACAAAAAGACGAGAGCAAGGGCGGATCTAGGATTTTCTCGAGGGTGTGCGGCTTTTCAAAAGTTTTTGAAAATTTTATCGAACAGTTTTTTAGGTCAACCAATTTGAATAACCGATACCTCTCAAAGCACTAACAAGATCCTGTATGGGCCAAATTTCCTGCGTCGCAGACAAAGTTTTGAAGAAAAAAAACAGGCAAAAAAAGGCATTTTTTGGAGAGTTTTGACCAAAAAGACGCGTTTTTTTCCAGCGACCTACCCCTTCCAAATTAAGACCATTTATCCACGAGGGAAAGAAAAAACATAAGAGCTGTACAGCTCATCACGGCGAACCGCTGTTGTGCCCCTGTTTAAGAACTACGTGCAATTTTTTTTGGTTATTTTTCTGGGTTTGGTAATGTTGCCACACCCTCAAGCAACGAGCACGGATCATGTTAGGCCTTGAACATCCGACCTTTAGATTGAGAGGCGGAGACATAACCACTTCAACACCGCTCCCCAAAGCGCCTTCAGAAAATTTTTAGGGCCAGCCAGCCAAACCAGGTCTCAAAACATTACCCTTTAGGTAGTCAGGGTGTCGATTCCCCGAGGGGAGGGGGAGCGTTCAATCCCTGCCTCCGTAAATCCGCTACTGCACGAGAGGACGTTTCTGTGCTATATGTTTAGTTTTGTTACATTATAAATATTTTGAAAACAAAAAGACTAATTGATTTAACTAACCAAGCTTGCCCGATTGCCTGGTCGCTTCGGTCGCTTCTCTTTTCGTCTGATTTATTCAGACTCCCTTCGTTTGATATCTTCAACTCAGGTACAATTCCAAACACACCACAATGGCTTATCTAAAACCACAAAATATATCAAAAACAAGTACAGCCAAAAAAGGTGCAATGAAAAATGATTGTAAAATTTCCCAAGGTTGGTCATTTCAGCAAACGTAAAAAACCTCATGTTTTTTTTCTACCAAATTCAAAAACATGTTTTTTTTTCAAAACCTCAATACCTAAACATGGTTTTTTAACCAAATTTAGTGCATTTTGTTGTTGTTTTTTTTCATGTTGGCTTCTATTGATGCATAATTATCAGGAAATTGGAGGAAATTAGCAGGAAATTGGAAACTTTTTGGTGCGCACTCTCAAAATGCAGAAAAAAAACATATAAACTTCTCAGGTTCTCGCTCTGGTAAAACTATGAGCAAAGTGAGGACCCTCTTGTCAATTACATTGAGATCCCCCCTCGGCACTCATAAGTCTCTCACCTTCCTTGGTTCTGCTCTATTCAGACTCCTGTTTGATCCCCCACTGGCGGGCGACTGTGATTGGTTCAGACTGACGGGGTCACTGCTGACACGGCAGGAGGATGAGGGGGTGGTAGAGGGGAGGATGATGTCATCTGATGAGGAGCCATGTGAGTGGTGACGGGCTGAAATGGAGTTCATAATTAATGCCAAATTGTTGGCAGTGTCATTTTTGACTAATTAACTGGCAATAATTTAGAATTAATACTTTCTTCATTAGACAGGAGCATAGTAATTTTGTATAATTTTAAAAGTTGATTATTTTTATGCAAATCTGTGATTCAGTTGAAAAAAGTAATTGGAAGAAGTCAAAAGTATAAGAAACAAAATTTCAATTGACGAGAACAATTTTTGATGAGAATCATAAAAAAAACAAATTTGATCAAACTAAAGGGCCCCAAATTAACTCAGAAAAGATTATGGTTATTGTTAAAAAACAAAACTTTTCCATTTTTTTAAAAGTTTGTAACGAAATTGATCAAACTAAGTCCAAAATTACCTCAGAGAAGATTATGGTTATTGTTGAACAAGAAAATTTTTGCATATTTTTAAAAGTTGTTTGGTAGTGTGCGCATTTAGCTTTGAATCTCAATAAATTCAGACTTACCTTGTAACTATTAAGTAGTTTAATTATAACAAAACTGTCCGGTTGTTCTTTTGCTTCTGTTTTTCCATCAACGTTTTTTCAACGAAGACACATAATGATGAATGATTGATCAGCACAAAATCTGCATTAGCTGGCTTTTTCAACGCACGATATTGTTTTTGAGCACGTTTTCCATCTGTGTGCTTCAGCGCGTTTTGATTAAAAAAAATATTGAATTTAAAATTTTATTAAAACGCGAGCTTACTTGGTCAGTTTATTTTCTCGTTTTCTTTCTAATACCATGCAAGTATGGCTTAAAATTTCAAACCCCGAGATTATTGGAGACCATTGAAAAAGACAGAACAATAAGTGCTGGTCTAAAAATAGAGATATAGGGTTTCTTTGTGCGATATCTTCTGAAAAAATAATGTTGGTTCATATTTGGCAAAATCATAATCAAACTTAACAAAATTATTGTATAATTTTTACCGCGTTTTTACAGTGGCGGCAGTTCGCTGAGAATAAAATTTAAGAAATTAGGGCAGTTAAAGAAAAACAAACTAACTATAATGAAAACAGAAAACGGATGGATATTTATAGAAAGTGAATCCGTATTCCAGGGTAGTCATTTCATGAATGATAAGATTCCATATGCTTTTTGATTGCATCACTAACACAAAATCTTACACACCTTTCAACTTCGTGCGTCATTTCGTGCTCTGATTAAAAACGGACAATCCGGAAATAGCCGATCATTTTCGTCACGTTATGGCTGACTTAGCAAGCAGACGTTACATCTTCTTTTTTTTAACCGATATCTTAATACTAAAAGGCGGAGGCTTTTTTTCACTCATTCCTGTGACGCATTCTGTTTTTTGATAGTGAAATAAGAAAGAGAACACGAATAATAAACAAACACAGAAGGATCGGATGGCCTCTTTACGTACTAGCGTCTTCTTACTCAATCGGCCTAAAATGACTTATCAGCTTATCCTTTATTAATTGATACCGTTGATCAAGCTGTAGGGTCTTATGCACTAAGCGGCCCAAAATCAAATTTTCTACATCGTAAGCTGGAAATTATGCGATCGAATTTGATTGGTTAATTTTAGCCAATCAAATTCAAGTTAAACGGTCAGGGATTCCGATCAACCTTTCCAGCAGATAAAAATATCAGCCGAATTTTCCGAAAAGATGAAACTTTGTAAAATAATCAAACTAATTTTGAGTTACTTGTGAAACCTAGCCCAGACAAGGAAAACTTATTAAAATGGATTGACAAAAAATTCAAATATATAATTCGGCTAATAATTTTATCTGCTTGAAACGGCAGAATTATTTCATTTAAAATGGCAGAAAATGTCGATGGAACTTGATTGGCTAATTAGCCAATCAAATTCAACCACAGTAATTTCACTTCAGGAGATGTAGAAATAATGATTTTGGGCCGTTTAGTGCATAAGACCCAAGCTGTATTTCAACAACGCATTAATTTTCAACCGATCAGATTCGAGCAGTACAATCGATTAGTTAATACAATGGCGATCACTCATTCGTTAGCCGATTCGAACTTTTTGAGTAGATGTGAAGGTATCCGGGTCGAGGCAGTAGCGGCTTTAGGGGGAAGGGGGCAGATGCTCCCCCTCAGGAATTCGAACCCCTGCCGACCCAAAGGTACCGCCTTTGTACTATTTTGAGATATCCATTTTTGGCTGACTGACCTTAAATATTTTCTAAAAGCGCCTTTGGCGCCAATCTATATTAATTTTGAGGAAGAACGCTCGCCGAAAAAACGCGATTTTTAGTCAAAATTTTCCAAAAAGTGCCTAAAAACGCCTTTTTTGGCCTTTTTTCAAAAAAACTTGCCTGCGGCACAGAAAATGTGGTAAAATTTGGGTCTTTATAGTGGTTTGCAAGAGCTCACAAAAAATTTTGAACGACCTAAAAAAAGTGGACAAATTTTTCAACGTTTTTTTGAAAATCTGCCCCCTCCCCCTCGTGAAATTCCTAGATCCGCGCCTAAGTTGAGGTTGTGGTTTTATGATCAGACGGTCGCGGCCAACTTTTGGTATTTCCAGACAGTCGCGTCCGCGACCGGTGCGACCGAAGGGTATTTCCAGACTGTCGCAATGCGTCCGCGACCGGCGCGAGCGAAGGGAAGTTAACGGCGAGCGGCACAACCAAAGAAAATTTAAACACGACCGGCGCGACCGAAGGAAAAATAGTCGCGCGGTCAAAAATTTAGTCGCGGCGGTCGAAAAATTAGTCGCTGTGGTCGAAAAATTAGTCGCGGTGGTCGAAAAATTCGTCGCGGGGCGAATAAGTTTTCCATCGCCGCGACTAACTTTTCGACCATGGCGACAAATTGTTCGACCACCGCGACTAACTTTTTAGTCGCCGCGACTAATTTTTCGACCATCGCGAACAAAATACGGTATTTCCAGAGTTTGTCTGCGACTTAAAACCCTGCAAAGACTATGGATTTTCGGTCACGGAATTAACATTTCCGCGACCGACAAAGTCAAAAATTTAGTCGCGGACCTCAACCCGGGTTTTTTAATGGAGTTAATTTTTGTTTTTGTTTCTGGTCCGGGTAAGTCTCTGCAGCCTGTTTGAAACAAATTTGAATAGTTTACCAAACAATCTATATTTTTGGCTATCTCGGCTTGTTTTTAAATCGACCTTAAAATGTGAACAAACTTATTTGAAAAGGTGCTGAAATTGTTTGGTTATTTTTAGCCAATCAGATTGAAGCAAACGAGTTTCAGTTCAAGATGCTGAAATAATGGTTTTTTTGGGCGGACCAAGTAAAAAAGACTCCACATCTTATATTTAAAACTTTTAATATATTTTGCTGCTCAATAGGTTGAAGTTTGCTTCATATCGGCATTTTTAGGCGCAGAAATTGGACATAGAACTGAAGCAAAATGGCTAGTCGCGTATTCTATAAACGCATCATAAACAGAGCTAGTTGCTCCTTGGAGCTATTTGAAGCACAAAATGAGGTATTTAGCGTCTAGTCACGTATTAAAGAAACCTATTACAGGATGATGTCAGAACATAATTTTCATGAATGCTATCTCATTTTTTACTTATTTGGGGTAGCGAGGTGATTGTTTTTGCAGTAGGCAGCAAAAAGTCACTGAAATCTGATGATATATTTCAGTGATTGTTTTTTGCTCAGGCATATTTTTGCAATTTAATGATTTTTTACTGTATTTAGTGCCAAACGAGCTACTATACTGTTGAATCAAAACAACCGGACAAAAATAACTGAACAAAAATTTTAAATTGGTTTCTCTAAAATTCGGTTATTTTTGCCCTGAAAAAAGGTGGAGGACAAAAAAATGAATTTTACCAGTTTATTTTGATGCAAATTTGTTGGCAAATTTTTGATGTAAAATCATACCCGTGTAACGAGTAAAATTAATTGGTTCAAAATTATTGTGGTAAACATAGTTAACTGATGTAGCAATAAATATAATTAATTCCTTTGACCCTGTTTACCTCCTTGATTTTGATGCAAATAGCTTGACCCGTTACAAAGTTTGCATCATAAACACTGTTTCAGTTCTTTTTTTTCGTTCGTTTTTTCCGCATTATACGAGCTCGCTCAGTAAAAATGCATTAAAAGTCCATTCAATCGCAAAAACTTGCGTGAATAAGAAACAATCCAATTCAAGGACATACATCATCAGAGTTCGGCGGATTTTTGCAGTCTACTGCAATTAAAAAATCACCTCAATAACCCTTATATTTGTAAAATAAGAGACGATTTATAAAATACAAGTCTTGGACATTTTATGAGCCAAATTAAATGCCACTTACGTGCTTTTTAGTACGAAAAATGTAGCACAATAGTTCTCGCAAAACGGCAATTCCCAAACCGCCATAACAAAACAAATTTTAATTACAGGCTTACTGTTTTTCAAAAATTTGTTCAAATTAAGATGAGACTCACTAACTGAGTTGAAATAGATATCAGCTGAGCTGCTTGATTATATGAGTCTTTATAGATAAAACATCTGAAAATTTTTGTAGTGAATGTCATCAAAAATTATTCCTCGGAATTGCATTTTAGGAAAAAAACTCTAAAAAAATTTAAAAAGCAGTTAAAGGAAACAAAAGAGAAAGCTTTTTTTAAACAGTTTTTAGTACTATGTGTTTGTTTTTGAAACTTTTATAATTTTTCTCATTCTGAGAATTTGGTATTTCGGTTTGGAGCTTTTAATTCCAATTATTTAGGGCAGTAGCTGGGAATCTCCACAAGCAACCTCAAAACCACTATAAGCACTGCTTAAGATATCCAAATGATTTAAAAGCAGTTTTCTTAACGCAATTGTGTTATCAGAAAGTAACAATTTTCGTAGAGTGTGATGCATGTACCACCGAACAATAAAAATTGACAACTTTTGACAGAAAAAAAGCACTTTCTGAGAGTGATCAGTTATTTTAGCATCTTCAACCCAGTTGTTTCTTGAAAATCTGACAGCACTTTCGTAGTCATTTTTTATTTTCAAAACTGTGCCTGGTTAAAATATCAAATTTGATTTAAAGTACTCTATTTAATTTGTAGATGTAAACATGGCTCTCTTTACTTTTGTCAATTTTCACTTTTTGCAGATCTTTTTGTGCGTTTGATAGATATCTAAGGATTTTTTATGATATTAAAAAGATTGATCAACAATAACATTTCAGATCAGCTAAAATTTTTGAGAAAAAAAAGATATTTTTGTTCTAAGTGGGTTTTTGCACATCAAACAACTCCGGTTTAGAATTTCCCGGTACATTCTTTTTCAGTTTTTTTCCACATTTTGTTCAAAGTAGGCACTTATGCATTTACTATAAATGAAATAAAGTTTTCCCTAAAAGCGGTTAGACATTTTTGCGTACTGTTTGGTTAAAAATGACCCATTTTAAAAAACTTCTCGAGATGAGTTTCTACCAACAGTAAAATTATCCTTAAATCAAAAAGGTGAAGAAGAACGACGTATGATTCATCGTTTAACCTACTTAAAGTTTTCATGCTATAAAACAGCGCTTTAAAACAACATCAATTTTTTTTTCTCAACATTAAATTTTGTATAGGAATTGAGCGATTGAAAAGGTCTTTTCTGTATATCTCGCCATTCTAGATTAAATTTTCTAATTACTCGGCTAGATCTTGAGCTCACATAGCCAATCAAATTCAACCACAATAATTTCACTTCAAGAGATGTAGAAATAATGATTTTGGGCCGTTTAGTGCAAAAGACCCAAGCTGTATTTCAACAACGCATTAATTTTCAACCGATCAGATTCGAGCAGTACAATCGGTTAGTTAATACAATTGCGATCACTCATTAGTTAGCCGATTCGAACTTTTTGAGTAGATGAGAAGGTACCCGGGTCGAGGCAGTAGCGGCTTTAGGGGGAAGGGGGCGGATCCCCCCTCCCCCTCTGAAATTCGACCCCCTGCCGACCCAAAGGTACATTTTTGGCTGACTGACCTTAAATATTTTCTAAAAGCGCCTTTGGCGCCAATCTATACTAATTTTGAGGGGGAACGCTTGCCGAAAAAACGCGATTTTTAGTCGAAATTTTCCAAAAAGTGCCTAGAAACGCCTTTTTTGGCCTTTTTTCAAAAAAACTTGCCTGCGGCACAGAAAATGTGATAAAATTTTCGTCTTTATAGTGGTTTGCAAGAGCTCACAAAATAATTTGAACGAACCAAAAAAAAAGTGGACAAAACTTTCAACGTTTTTTTGAAAATCTGCCCCCCCCCCCTCGTGAAGTTCCTAGATCCGCGCCTAAGTTGAGGTTGTGGTTTTATGATCAGACGGTCGCGGCCAACTTTTGGTATTTCCAGACAGTCGCGTCCGCGACCGGTGCGACCGAAGGGGAGTTAACGGCGAGCGGCACAACAAAAGAAAATTTAAACACGACCGGCGCGACCGAAGGAAAACTAGCCGCAGCGGTCAAAAATTTAGTCGCGGCGGTCGAAAAATTAGTCGCTGTGGTCGAAAAATTAGTCGCGGTGGTCGAAAAATTCGTCGCGGGGCGAATAAGTTTTCCATCGCCGCGACCAATTTTTCGACAATGACGACAAATTGTTCGACCACCGCGACTAACTTTTCAGCCGCTGCGACTAATTTTTTGACCATCGCGAACAAAATACGGTATTTCCAGAGTTTGTCTGCGACTTAAAACCATGCGAAGACTATGGATTTTCGGTCACGCAATTAGCATTTCCGCGACCGACAAAGTCGAAAATTTAGTCGCGGACCTCAA